AGCCACACAAGTGAGAGACAACTGATTCACGTAAGTGACTTTGACCTACGCCGTGTAATTTACAAATATAGAATGGGAAAACATGGATGGCCAAAATTGATTGAATTACCAAGGGTGTCAAGTAGTACGCAGACATCTTCATAGAATGTTCAATCATCAAATTCTGGCTTTGCAAATTGGACAGCAAATGTTTCAACTCGGTTCCGAAGATCAATAATATCTTTGTTATTGTGAAGACCCTTGAGAAAATCTTTCTGCAATTTTCCATGATCTCTGTACAGCACTTGTAATCTGAGCTGCTCTGCAAAGAAAGCTGGCGATTGTCTCAAAATCAGACTCTAAACAACCCCTCGATGTCATAGCAGGCGTACCTGAGAGAAAGTTAGCAAAGTTGGGAAATTAATGGAACAAGATGACCAGCACTAGTACGGCAACCAAGCACAAACCGAAAACATAATATGTTCTCTTTTTAACCCATTAGCATCTTTAAATGACCTTGCTTGCTACTCTAAAACTACCATGAGTTAGCCACTTCTAAATATGTTATTAGGGTATATAGAACAAATTAACCCATTAAAAAGAACTGATTAATATAAGCCCAATTAGATCATTCAACCAACTAAAATAATTGCAAAATGCGATTCCCTAATAAAATAAGGCATAATCTATTGTGATCCTTTATGAAGCTGTCTAAAAGCAATAGAAATTTATGCAAAAGAGAAAACAAGAATAGTCCTTACCAATTCTGACTCCTCCAGGAGAAATAGCACCATTATCACCAAAGATAGCAGTTTTATTCAGCGTGATGTGGCACATCTCACAAACTTTCTCATAGCATTTACCTAGGTAACATAATAGGTGAGAGTTATTTATAGGACAAGTTTAAGGAAGCACAGGTCATAATATGAAGGAAATGCACTGTGTATCAATAATTGCACATATATGTTGTTTGTCATGGTAATAAAATTATTAGAATATCATATTGATTAAACTAAAAAGTATGAAACAATTTTTAGCTTGCCAAGTAGACAAGTTGGTGAGACTTAGACCAAAGAAAAACTTGCAGCAAATATGGTCTACAAGCCATTGGCTCTCTTATGATTCTCAGGAAGACTGAAGTATCAAATTCTATTTTCACTACCAAGAATCTATTATTACAGTTAATTTCTTAGCTTTTCTAGACTGAATTTCTAAGAATTAACTTATCCATACTCTTTAATTGTAACAAAATACATATGCATAAGCTATCCCCTTTTAAAAATCCATTAAGAAGTCCAATTCCAACCCAAAAACAAATTTAATATGTTAACATATATTTTCTGAGCTTGTATATGCTCCAAATGTTTATCATACTGAGGAGGCAAGATTAGTGTACCTGTCAAGCCTAGAGCAGTGAGATCCCAGAGCAACAAATGGTTGTCGGTGACCCCAGTAACCAACTTGCATTTTCTTCTCAACAGAGCAGATGCTAATGCCTGAGCATTCTTCTTCACCTGTTGCATATATGCTCTGTACTCTGGTGTAGCCACTTGCTTCAAGGTTATGGCAAGAGCGGCAATATGATTATTATGAGGTCCCCCTTGTAATGATGGAAAAACAGAAAAGTTTATCTTCTCCTCAAAATCATACTGGCCACTACTATCACCATTACTGAGACACATGCCTTGTTTTTTCGATTTTGCACCCCTCCTATAAAAAATTATACCTCCCCTTGGGCCACGCAGACTTTTGTGAGTTGTTGAAGTAACAACATCACAGTAGTCGAATGGACTGACACATTCCTGTGATAGATGAAGGACAGGAGTGAACGTGCTAGTAAGAGGAAAGAAAACACAAAATTTACCTTGCATGAAAAGGAAAATATCAAAAGATTTTATCAATATGAAGTACGATTACGTTACAAAAGCTATTAAACTTCTTTCAAGGGTTAAAGCATAGATAAGGGATTCTTTTCTTTTAACTCTTTTCCTGGGGAGTTTTTTTTTTCCTTTTTTTTTGTGTGTCTCTGTGGGGGGGGGGGGATTGCATGTTTGTTGTTCGGTGTGGGAGATTCAACCCAAAACCTCAGTGGAAAATATTACTAGTTCCAGACCGACACCCACACAAATTCTTCTGGTTATTTTGTACCCATATAACCCAAACAAATTAGATTTGAGAATTTCTATTGAATAGGAAAACACCTTGTAGAAAATTAACAGCATATAACTTCGAATTTCATGCGTACCTAGGATGAGCTAGCAACATATATATATTCAAATGACCAGAGAACCCCCAAATGTATTCAGCATGAAGACAACTAGAAAATTAGCTATCAAAATTATATGATTTACTAGCCAACCAAAAGGAAAAAAAGGAAAGAAACATATACTTCCTTGACTAGAAGGGCTGATAAGGTCTATGAGCATTTACATTTGCATAAAATCAAAGATATGTGTGAGTATCCATGTCTAACAAGGTCAAGGTTATTAGAAAGGAGAAGGGTAAGATATGAAAATATTAGATGATGCATTATGGTCATAAAGTCAGACCATTTGTGAAATGTAGATGATAAATCAGTCCATCTCGCACAGGTTAATATACAGGTTTAACCTCCGCTCAACTTCAATAAGCCGTAAGTTACAAATGTTGTTTGGAAATAAAAATTCAACAATTGAATTTGCTTTCCACCAAATAAAGCTTAAGCTTTCTCTCTAAAGCATAAGTCTGATGTAGATTCTTTTTGCTATTTCTTAAATGTTTAGCATGTACGTTTAAGTTGAGTCCAGTTGCATGAAATTGAAGGTTGTGGTGCCTAAATCGCATGAATATTTGACAGGCCAACAGTTATACTCCTTTAGAATTTACAAACAGCGATTATACTTAGTAAGTTAACCTAAGTGGTATGAAAACAATGAATAGTTTTATAGATTAGACATGTGACTTAAGTCAGGCATATATCTATCCAAATGAATTGCAATCAACCAAACACAGTGCCAAAAACTGCAAGAAACCTCAACTCAGAGAACAAATATTTTATATCAGAATCGGAACATAAAACCTAATACCATGTAAAACAATAAAATTTCAAACCTGAGCTGCCACAAGACCACTAATATGAGCCATATCACACATCAACACCGCTCCACACCTATCCGCAATCTGCCTAAACCTGGCATAGTCCCACTCCCTAGGATACGAACTCCCACCACAAATAAGAATCTTGGGCCGATAATCAAGCGCCTTCTCCTCAAGCTTATCATAATCAATATACCCTGTTTGAGGATTCACCTTATAAGGAAACTCTCAAAAAATATAGAAGCAGCAGATACTTTCTTCCCACCCGGCATATGCCATCCATGGCTCATATGCCCTCCGGACGGTGAATCAACCCCATGATCCGCTCACCGGGCAACAAAAGTCCAGTATAAACAGCAAAATTCGCAGAGGTACATGAATAAGGCTGCACATTGACACCCCATTTCTCGGATTCAAGATTAAAAGCTGCCAATGCACGGTCGTGGCATAGGGTTTCGATTTGATCTATAAACTGGTTGCCCGTATAGTACCTGGCTCCAGGCATTCCTTCGGAGTATTTGTTCGTTAAATGGCTTCCCAATGCTTCCATCACAGCTCGGAACACAAAATTTTCGGAAGCAATAAGCTCAATTCCTAATATTTGCCTTTGCTTTTCCTTTTTCATAATTTCATCCACATCTGGATCCGCCTCTTCTAGCCGTTGGTTTCCCCATGAACGGATGGCTGCTCGCCGTTGCTCCAGACTGGGATCGGCAGCTAACCGTTTGCAAGGGTTCGAAACAGGTTTAGAATCCCTTTGTCTTTTGAGGCACATAGATTGTCCTAGAATTATAATTTCTTCATCTTCGTTGTTGGAGTCTTTTTGCTCTACGTTCTCGAACCAAGGGACACCGTCTTGCTTTTCATCGAAGAACTGTAAAGGAACGGGCTGGACCGGGTTGGATGAGTTGCGAAAGCTGGTGTCGATTTGTAGCGAAATCGAATCGTCTCCAATGGAATTTTTAGTAAAACCCAAAGACAAACCCGATCGAACCTTGGATAAATCCATTGAAACCCTTAAAAAGCTGGAACCTTTGAACTGAAAAAAATTGAAATGTTTGGGAGAACTTTGTAGGGTTCGGGAAGAACAGCTTACAGCACTTGAGGGTAAGTGTATAAGCGACAGAAACAACGGCAACACATCCTGAAGTAATTACAACGCAAATAAGGAAGCATTGCCTGATTAAATTGTGAAGCGAGAGCAGAGAAAGCAAACTGGAAAAAGGTGATATATTTTTCCTTCTTTTTCCAGGTTAAGTGTTTGAAGCCTTGGAAAATTGAAATATAATATACAATTCAGAAAGCGAAGGGTTTAACTCGTGTATGTCGACTGAACCACAGCTAGGTTCAAGCTTGTTAGCGGCCCAAAATTGAAGCCAGGCCCATAATCAAAATTAAAGAGGTTTCGTGTATTCGAATTCAATGCTTATTCTCAACCTTTTGTCGTCGTCAATGAAGTCGACTTCCTTGAAATTTCTGTCTTATGGGAATTATCTCCATCTTTTATTATTCCGTCCGGTTCTCGCTGTGCTTTTGTTTTTCTCCTTTATTATTCTCTCAAAACTTTCGCGATTCTTTCTTGCCGTGGATGCTGGCGTAGAAGTTGGTTCTGGTTCACGTCGCATTGGTTAAATCAAAGCCTCCGATATTATAACAGCATCAACGCTCATAATTCCACTTCTCAATAGGTATTTTATTTATTTTTAATTTGTTGCAGTATGTTGTGTTAGCTTGAAAGAGAGATTGAAATGTTTAGTTTTGGATTGATTATCTGCTCATTAATTAAGCATTAATGGAATCAAAAAATGGATTAGAGGGTGCTAATGCAATGTGAACCCTTGATTAGTGTGATTATTTACAGATATGATTGCAGACACGAAATCAAACACATCCAATGGCACGCAACTACCAACAAAAGAAAAGAAATGGTAAAGATGTTGCTTTGGCAAATTATCTTATCTGAAAGAATATTCTTAGCTGTACAAGTGTTTTATTGCCTCCTTTTAATACCAGAAATAACAAGATGTGGCCCGTGAAAATTGAATTTGACAAACAATAAAACCAAAGTAAATGGAAAATATATCCGACAGCAAATGCCTTCACATTTGATGCCTTTCTAGACTTACTCATCATCTCCAGCTGTTGTAGGTTGGCCAGAAGATTTGTGATCAGAGGCAGCAGTTGCTTTCTTACTACCTGGTCCTGAAGATACTTTAACCATCGCTGGCCTTATTAGCCGGTCCCTAAGGAGAAACCCACGGCGGAATTCTTGGATGATTACCCCTTCTTTGAATTCTAGAGACTTTTCCCGTGCTATGGCTTCGTGTAACTGTATCCGACAAGAGGGAAACCAAGTGAATCAATAACAAAACTTACAAGGAATGTACTCTGACTATCACTCCAAAGCCTACAAATTTACTGTTCAACCACATTTATGGATGGCGTATGTGTATTTTGCTTCAAGGAATATTCCTAAAAATCAAGAATGTATTCCAAACACCAGCTTATGCTAACAGGTATATGCATCTGATCATTGTAATCTTCTTATTCAAGATTTTAGAATAAATCCTAATATGGACTTGTCCTCTCAATTCTAGGGGCAAGTCGAAACATTTTCAAGCTATCATGTGTACCCAGAATTAGCAGAAATTTGCAATATAGTTTCCGAATGGGATAACTTAAAGCCTCAAAGATAATCAGGCTAGTAATGGAGTTTGAAAAATATTAAATACAAATTGAATAAAAAAATCCGAAAAACGGGACAAAACCATCAATTGACCAAAATGTTTACTTGACTGAAGATTTGGTTACTATAAGTACATATTCTCAGAAACCTTACACAATTAACTTAACCATGTCTGTGTACATAATTTATCTCAGTATTCAACACTTGCAATATGTTCTCCAATGTACCTATAAATGGTTTGCAACAAAGAAGAAAAACAGACATTATGGGGGCATTTAAACACTTACAGAGGGATCAAAGGGCTTTCCAACAGTTGGGACGACGGCCACTTGCAAACACCTCATGATCTCCACAAATTGCTTGTATATACCCTGATAACTCGTATCGATCTTCTTTTCTTTCTCGGTTTCCGGTTTTACTTGTTGCTTGGCTCTCCCAAAACTGTCAATCATGGGAAAAAGACTCTCAATCACTTCTCCTTGAGCATCAGACCTTGCCGTAAGTCTCTCCTTCTCCGACCTCTTCCAAAAATTATCAAAATCAGCTTGCAGACGGATATACTTCTCTTTCCCGGAGGTTATCTCTGCTGATAAATCCATAACTTGTTTTTCCAACCCATTCTTCTCATTTTCCAAAAATGCTTATTCTATTCTCAATCTCTGATACAATCCTATCATCTCCCTTTAGAAGAGCCTCCTTGTAAACTCTAAGCATGGCCTTTAAACTGCCTCCCGATGTTTGTACATTTCCCTGATAAAATTCCTTAATGAAATTATCACTATTACAAGCAATTAGACAATAACAAGCTTCACTTAACAATTCAATTTTCACCTCCAGCTAATTTTCTTCTACTATGAAAACTAGGAAATTCTACAAAATCATTTTCTCGATCTAATGCTACAAATTAATAATTAGTGGATATAGTGCAAGGGAAAAAAATGAACCCATTAGGCCAAAAAATAACTTAGAGTGCGAGCAGATTCCTGGGAAGAAAGAGAAGCCTGAAAGTCGACCTATTGGAAAACTTTGTCCTGTTCATAGGGAAGGAAAGGTTCGATGGAGAACGCCCAGAGAAGGATTTTGAAAAACGAGGTTTTCGGGAAGGAAATTGAACTCGTGATGAAGATGATATGGTGTGGATTGAGGGTTTTAAAGAAAAAGCTGAAAATTGAGGAGACAACACGGCGTGATTAGAGAATGAAGCAGCCATTTGCATAAGTATTCGTGTTAACAGATTTTAGTGAGAGAGGGTCCTCGGCGGCCGCCCAACCCTTTGGATTTGTTGCTCCACCTCCGTTTGTGCTTTCTCTGCTGAATGATTTGATAATTTGGGCTGCGCACGTGGTCTGCCCCTATTCCCTATGTTTTGGAGAAACAAAAAGGGTAAAGTTTCTCAAAATAACTTTCTTAGGCACTGAGCTTTCAAGAATTATAAAATGAGTTTTATTATTTTTTTACAAAATGGGATGGCATAGCACTTCAACTAATGGATAATATACCATTTGGTTCTTTAATTATAATTGAAATTTTATTTTGATACTTTTTGAAGTGCATTTAGGTACTTTTTTTCAAAGTCATTTTGCTATACCTGGTAAGAACAAAGAGAATATAGGGTTTGTAGTTTGCTTCACGATGTTGACCCTCTCTTCATACCAAATTAGAATATTATCTCTTTCACTATACTATAATCTATGACTAAACTCTCTCTCTCTCTCTCTCTCTATATATACATATATATATATATACATTGTCCTGGAATAAAGTATTTCTAAGATCATTTTGTTTAAATAATCTACTTTCTTTCAATTAATAACAATGAAAAGTTACAAAAAAAAATTGTATAAAATCTAAAAATAACATTTTTTTCCAAACATGAGCTTATTAATAAATTGACCTAAAAATAAAGACAACCAGTTCAAAAGGGAAAAAACAGGTCGGGGTAAGGTAATCAGGACACATGCATGCAGAAACTCCATACGTAAAGGCGGCTATTCCTTAGTTGCCTAACGTTCTCAGAATTCAGTTGGCTCCTCCACCACACCGCGCCTAAAATTCCGTTTACGGGAGACTTTCCTCCAAACTTTGTTTATACATCTTATCTTCTCATTCCCTCTTCACGTCTCCAGGTCCTCCATGAAGCAACGTTCCACCAGGATAATCTCCGTTCTCTGCATCTTCTTCTTCACCCAAAGGCACCGTACCTATCTACTTTTTTTTTTAATTTCATTGATTGATGAAATGGTGTCAATGCCCCTCCTTTTTAGTTATTTTTTTCTAGATATTGAATTTTGATTACAGGCTGTGGAATGTAACTACATCCAACGATCCGCTCGTCTCAAAACATCGACGTGAACAGGAGGAGACAATCTCGGACGATTGTGACCATAATATGTTTCTTTTATATTCACAGTCACAGATTCACAGTTTAACCACAATTTTTGTTTTGTTCAACATTTTTCTTTCAAACAAAGCTAAAGCTTTCTTTTCGTCACAGAAGCCTTCTGGCGAAAATGATGTAATGGGTCAAGTTTTGAAAACCCACGAAGCAATTGAGTGAGTATTAAATTGCCTTCTTATTATCTTTGTTAATGGTTATGTTTTTTTTTTTGTCTTGGAAGGTCTTCTCTCTTCCCTATTAACTTCTGTTCTTTCTGGTAATAGATCTCTGGACAAGACAGATGCAATACTTCAGAACAAGTTAGCTGCCTCCCGTAGAAATAAGGAAATAAAGAACTCGGATGCCACCGGTGCCTTGTCGACCTTGGCTCTCGCTCATAACGGCTCGCAGAGGGCAAAAGTGTTCATGGTCATTGGGATTAACACTGCGTTTAGTAGTAGGAAGCGACGGGATTCCATCAGAGAAACATGGATGCCTCAAGGTCTTTTATAGAGCACCTGATATGGTTTGTTGTTTGTATTTAATATCTGAAATGAATTCTAAAGTTTATGTAAGAACAGGGCACAAACTTGTTTAGTTGGAGCGTGAGAAGGGGATTATTATCCGATTTATGATCGGGCACAGGTAAATTTGGTTTCCGGTCCATTGTTCAATACATACATATGACAACTTTGGTTTGAAATTGGTATGGAATCTGAAGTAATTGCTAGTGTTCAAGTGTGATGAATATGGGAAAAATATGCTTGTTTCAGTATTAAATTTGAATTGGCATATGTTTAAATCTGCATTTTTTCACCCCAGTGCAACATCCAACAGCATTTTAGATAGCTATTGATTCGGAGGATGCTGAGCATAAAGACTTCCTTAGACTGGTTAGACAAGCGCCCCTACGCTAATGTCAACAACTCTTATGAGACAGTATGGCATTTCTTCCCAATAACTGGTTTAAATTTTCTAATACAGGAGCATGTTGAAGGATATCATGAATTATCTGCAAAAACAAAAACTTACTTCTCTACTGCGGTCACAAAATGGGATGCAGAGTTCTACATCAAGGTGGACTATGATATCCATGTTAATCTTGGTAGGTTTGCCATCCTATATAATCTCAGAAATATTTAGCACCCAAAAGAATGATGAAGAAGCCTTAGATCGTTGCATTAGTGAATTTTTTATGCATGTTTTTACATAGGTAAGCTAGCTGCAACTCTCGGCCGAAACAAGCCCGGGGTCTATTTGGGTGCATGAAATCGGGACCAGTTCTTTCTAAAAAGTAAATATTCTGGTATTTTTTGGTCATGATGATCTAACTCTCCAAATTGCTTTGCTCCCTCCTGAAAATTTTCTTACACAACTTTCTCTTAAAATCTTTTGTGTTCATTAGATATGTCAAGTACCATGAACAGGAGTACTGGGAATTCGGAGAAGTCGGGAACAAATACTTCCGACATGCAACGGGGCAGATATATGCAATTTCCAAGGATCTCGCAGACTACATTGCCATAAATCAGTGAGATTATCGGTTTTGTGTGAAAGTAAACATTTATTGGTTGTATATTGCTTTGTCTTTGAGAGTTTTGGTCACATCTTCATTGCCAACTCAATTGAATTTGTATATAGTTTAGATCTAGTGACTGCACTTTGGACTCCTATAATGATGATAGTTTCCCTTGAAAAGAAAGGCATGTTTAATAATATTCAGAGTGATTCTGACTAATTGCAGGCCAATACTGCACAAGTATGCTAACGAAGATGTGTCCCTTGGTTCATGGTTTATCGGCCTCGAGGTTGAGCACATAAACGGTAGGAGCATGTGCTGCAGGACGCCATCAACTCATACGTACTTGAAGAAAGGTAATTTAGTCAAATGTCTTAAACGGTATACCAGATTGAAACATGCACATTGTCCCTAAAATCATTGTTCCTTCTATATCTGTATCCATCACACCGCAGATTGTGAGTGGAAGGCACAAGAAGGTAATACATGTGTTGCATCATTCGATTGGAGCTGCAGCGAATCTGCAAAATCGTTGGAGAGAATGCAACTCGTTCATCAAAAGTGGGGTGAAGGGGATGCGGTGGTTTGGAGTGCGTTAATTTAAACCGATATAAAGGTTTTCTTGGGTGGGGGGAACAAGATTGAAACATCCATGAGTGGAGGGAAAAACAGGTTTTTGCTGATCAGAGGGACAAGACGAGCAATTTGCAAATAGATTTTCTCCACTGTTTGCTTAGAAATCGGAAAGCAAAGGAGGCATTGTTCAGTAGTTAGAATGTATTTTTATGAACACGTTTTTCTCTCATAGAGATGTATGACCACATGTATACACTTCAATTCAATTGATGAAAGTATAATAAAATCAAACAAAAATCTTTAGTTGTTTTGTCTAAAGTTTATAATAATTGTATACAGTTGGAGGGTAACGAGACAGATACGCATGTCATTGATAATTGAATATTGAACAGTTATCAGGTACTTGCAGAAAGGTAGAAACTGCTTCTTATGTTTAATCCTTTACCCTTCTACTCCTAACTCAAAATTAGACTTCTCCATGTGTTGAGTCACCGACAAAAGCATGTCTTTTAGTAATAGATCAATCAAATCTATATTAATCAGGAAGCTTGATAAAGTACCATACTAAGTTCATATGTTGACAAGTCAAAAACTTCCCGACTTTGAAACCTTCTGCTGCTGGTCCTGTGTCCCATCTCCTTTATTTCTTAAAGGAACCAAATGAGCTGACATAGGAAATACATATAGTCGCCGTCAGAATCTGCATTTTAATCATAACAGCAAGGGAAGTATGTTTTTGCTGATCATGTGTTCGAAAACATCCATTGATAGAGATGTGGTGAGGCGAAAGACAAGTCATCCGATGACCCTCTGTCTCCAAAGATCAGTTGCATGGGACAAGTGAAGAGGAGCAACAGGATTGTCGGATTCTCCGCACACGATCACCGCCAAGATCACCAGCTGCGATACTAATAAAAGTAATGATTCCAAGTATTTCAAGCTCAGGAGGCTGTTTTCCGGCAACAATGGCAGAAGCAAACAAGGGCTAGAACATGGTGGAAGAGAGAGATGTGGTTCGAATTCGATCAGCAGCATTGAAACATGGACCCCTTATCCGTGATGAAGAGAGTTACAAAACGAGGTGATAGAGATAAGGACGCTCGTTGGCAGAGGAGATCACGTGGAGCTTCGTTGGAAAGCTTACAGCTTCAGCGTATTCAACTTAATAGACATCAGGAACCGAACACTGTTTGATAGAAAGAAAAAGAAAAGAACGCAGTACAAGGTCAGACAATGTATACCACTTGTTCTTGAAATTTCCAGTTTTGGTCGATAGCAGTTTTCAATTCGGCATTTAAAGAGAATAATCGAATTGCTGTGATGCTAGTCAAGATGTATCTGAATTATTCATCAAAGTTCAATGATTTAGACATTTATCTCTATAGAAATTATTGATATGAGAGCCCATCAATTATATTAATTATTGTTGTTGGCTTTAAATATATGCATGCCAAAATTTTCAAACTTCACAATTCATCACCGTGTAATTGGATTAGTACAACTTTGGAATGGTTAGATATGTAAACAAATCAATCTATAGACCAAGTTCAAGTTGAAAGAGAGGAATTATTCTAATTTGAACTCAATTTTTAAATTTAAGGTTTGAAACTAGACCATCACCTAATCAAGTTTCATTTTTAAAACTCAAAACGTGCAAACTTGTTAATACAAGTTATTGTGATATGCTCAACTTTAAACTTGATTGTTTATGATTAATTTCAAATTCAGATTTTCCAAAGCTAAATTAAAAAAAAATCCAAGTTTGCTATTGCCACGTTTCTGTTGTGCAGACTGAGAAACACCAGTTGTGGATAATGTTTTGAACATTTTTAGTAGGCGATTTGGGGTCTAAACAAACATGTCTTGAATGGATAACTGAAGTACCATAAGCCCACCCGAAGCAACGGTTGATGCTTATTGCCTGTTGAGAAGATCAATGCAGCCTAGAGATGGCAAACGATACAGTTTCGTGGATTCCGTATCGCATCCGCTCCAATTGGGGCGGGGATGGGTATAATTTTAGCGGGTAGAGGCGGGTGTGGATTTAGAAAGTGGTATCCGTCGGTGGGGGGGGTAATGGGTTGAGACATTACCCGCCCCGCATCCGTCCGCCCAGCTAAATACGATTAAATTTTGGACCATTATGAATTTAGGTGTAATTTAGAGACTAATTTATAATTCTAATATTATAAGATATAACATGTAATTTATCCAACTCTCCAACAAATGCAAAGATATTTTGGCATTCTTGTCTCCACTGTCCCATCAAAATCTGCATTCATATAGGTGGAATAGTAATTGGTCCTTATCGTAGTCTACTACTTCCGGAGACGATTGAAGCATTATGTATGCTCAAAATTGGTTTTTGGGCCGATATTAAAGGTAATATTCTTATTTAATTTATATTAGTTGTCAAATTGTGCTTAATTATCTTATTAAAGTTTAGTTACTACTTATTAGTTTTTCTTTCTATATATGTAGGTAGTAGTGAATTTAAATTGGAGCGCTCTAGTTGGAGGAATAGAGAATGATGATTGTAATACTAGAGTTATATGTCACAATATTGCCTGAAATTTAGAAATTTGTGCCAAAGAACAAAAACATTATGTGTTTGTCATTTATGTTTCTAGACTTTAATATGTCATTTTATGATGTTTTATGTATTTTAAGATCTATATTAACACCTAACTTAGATAATCCTTAGATTATTTATTATGTTTAATGGACATGTTTTTTTTTATGTTTATTGCTTATGTATAACTTAAATTTGCTGTCAGGTGGGTCTAGATGGGTACGTCGTTAGTGGTAGTGGTGTGGGGATGGATTTGAGAATATACCCGCGTGACGGTGTGGATTTGAAAATTTGTACCCATCATGAGTGGTGGGAAGGTGGTTGCTAGTTGATGCAATAGCATGCTCATTAGCATGAGCTGTCACAAAAGCACCAACTACTTCCTTTGTAACTTCAGATTTCTCAGTGGGAGAAGATGAAATATGAGGGTCTGAATCCGAGGAACCAGCAGAAGAGTTTGATGAGGTCTTCTTCTTCAGGAGATTAAAAAAATCATTTCGGCTCTGGGTTTGAGCCAAAGAAGGCCTCTTTTCCACAGTGAACCCAGCTATTGGATTCAAGGCAGCTGCCTTGCGCTCCCCAGTAGAAAGCTTCGAGTTGTTTGAGTTTCTGGCAGAAGCCGATGAAACATGAGCAATGGCATGTTGGCTAGTAATAACTCTACTGTTTGCAATTGCTGTTGGGCTTGCAGTGTCTTTTTGAGTAGGTGATGAGACCCCATTCTCCCATCCTGGTTTGAGAACCAAAAGCTTACCAGATGCCTTTGGCATATCAGATTTGACGTGCCCACTATGAGATTGCTTACCATTATGAATAAAAGAAGGATGCTGCAGCCCACTCTTCAAAGCAATATTCACCTCACTTGTTCTCAATGCTGGTTTTGTTTTTGATTTATCCACTGAATTGGGAACCTGATCAGAAATTAGGTAATTATTACCTTAAAATTTTAAATGCCTATTACCTGGAATTTCTAACTATTAATAAGTGGTTATTTTATCCATGCAGTGGCTAGGTAATGCAAATAAAAAATAAAGCACTTCAATAACACTTCATGAGCAGACGGCATACTAGCTTACTTCAGTTAATCTTAACATTTAAAATTTCAGTGAAAATATACAAAAGCAGCACAAATCTATATCACAAAAGTCAGATGATAAAGAGAAGTCCTCATGTTCTTCCAACCAAAATCCAGCATAAACAAAACCAGTTTTGGAAAAGGCATGGGTTGCATAGGTGATGGATGAATAGGTAGTCTAGCATACCTTTTTTTTCTTTTTAAATTCTAATAGTGACTAGGCTCCTTGAAAATTTATACTGATAGAGTGATAGAGAATTGACCGTATTTAATTGATGATACTACTTAAACAAATTGCATCAGACTTAATGAGGTTTTCTCCAGAATCTAATTCTTTTTCTTCTATTGTGATCGGAGAAAATGATCAAGACCAACAATCTCAGCGTACTCTTGAAACACAAATGATGTAAATCCATATCGACTCTAAATAAAAATTTGCTGCAACTTAAGGCAGCATCATATATATCTGGCAACATATTCTCATGCAACTGTTGTTTTAAGAACATTCAGAGAATTATGGAACTTCTGTCAAATCAACTAATAATCTAAATCAGATAAAACAAGAACATGTCTGGATAGTACACTGTACACTTCATTAAAAAAAGTGGTAAGTTGAAAACTACAGAAAAACAAACATAAGGGAGGAATGGCCAAGAATAAAAAAAATGCAAAGGGGAGGGAAGGAAGGAGCAAGCAAGGGAGAAGGGGGTATGATGGACAGGAAAAGGAAGTGCCATTTTTTCCAATATTCTCATCAACATAATATAGTCCATTGAATTTTTGTTTGTTTTAACCAGTAGAAAAAACAATAACCGATAGGGAAAAAGAGCGGCAGGTTGCAATAAATGAGAGCATGTGATTCTGATGTAGGAGGACAGGGGATCAAGACAACTTTGCAGGCTACAATTTCAAGTTACAGACTAGTGAAGGATTTGGGAGAAGGTTTGAATTAATATTCAGTTTGATAAGAAAACTACAGATCTACAGACATTTTTGGGTGCAACTAACAGCAGTCAATGACATAAATAATTCTAATAATTTAAGTGCAAACATGAGGGATTGCTGATGATAAGGGTTACAAGAATGTATATACAGAACTAAAATATCATACGTAAGCTAATATTCAGGTTTAAAAGCAGCTAAAATCTAAAGACCAAAAATGATCTAGCTTGACACATTCAAGTCTTCTATGGCTGCAGAACGACATTAAATGAAGAACATAAATTCAGGTTTTCATAAATTTAATCTTTCTATTGGTGTATCTAACTGATAGAGGAAGACTAGCATTCAAATTCCAAGAGAAATAAAATCAAGGAAACAAGAACAAAATCGTGTATCTAAAGGATAAAAATCAGAAAGAAACAAGACATAAGTGATTGCAAATAAGAAACAACAAAAAAATGGTCATCATAATGCATCTCAAACCAAAAACAGTATATTATTTTCACCAAGCCATTGTAAATGTGAATTAATATGACCAACAACAAGAACATACATCATTTTTGTTTGATCAAAATTTTGGTGATACTGGATATAGTCCAGCACAGAAGAACCAACATATAGCTTTCACATAACATATAAAACCTAAATGCAGATAGACAGGCATTAGATATAAAGAAATATTCGTTATACAATGTCTGATTGATATAAATTATGTAAAAGGCAGAAGGAATAGGGAGGGAACCAATATTGTTTAATAGGAGTAAAACTACAAATCAAACAGGGTAAGCAAACTATATTTTTCTGAAATCGAAGGCAAGCTTACCGAACCCTTAGGCATTGAAGGTGTCACTGGTATTAGTTGCCTTGATTGCTTAATGGCGAGCTCCTCACGCCTTTGAGTATTGATTGATAGCTGTACCATATACAACAGTCTAGTTAATCACAGATAAGTTTTAATTTATGCATGCAATAAGAACTGTCTGAGCCAGTTACCTGGGGAGCAGAACATGCTCGTGAAGGAGATTGAACTAATGCCACTGCCATATTAAGACCAGATGTGACACTTGGAGCCCCAGAAACTGAGGTGGAAACAGTTAGGGGGGCAGAAAAGGAACCTGTGCTACTACTTCCAACCACACTAGGTGATTCTGCCAGAGCTGAGGTCCATCCTTCCCCATCAATCAAAGATGAATTGCCAATAGATAAACACTGAGAAACTGAGCTCAAACCAGGAGATGAAACTCTAGCTGCCTCAGGCACCGACTGCCTCTCTTCAGTTCCAAGTGACGGAAAATCTTTCTGAAAGGCAGCCTTGTGGATGCAACTCCAATAGCATCCCCAGAAACCAGACCATGGTCATTGTTATTGCTACTATTGCCACTGTCTCTTGAGTCCACTGCAGTTCTTTGAGGCAAAGGCTCAGTGTGTTTCCTAGAGACCATAGAATTAGACCGCCAAAATGTATTTATTTCCACCCTAGATGTCGAAATACCTCCTAATTTCTCAACTCTACTGGTAAAAATACTTTCTAAAGGGTCAGAAGAATTGAAGTCCCAACGATCACCAAAGCTTAGCCTCTCCTTGCTAAAGCTACTATAAGCATGCCTTGAAGAACCATTATCTCCCTGAATTCAATGGAGATGCCCGATTCAAAAATGCTAAACAAGGGGAATCAAAATCACTGATACTCCTAGAGTTTCTACTTCTCCCATGATGTACTGGTGAAGAAACATCTAACATAACAAAAAGAATGCAGTCAGCATATGTTTCCAAAAACAAATACAAAAGTTGATACAATGACAACTACTCAGTATCAATGCAATGAAAAAGAGACAGGGCATCATATTACTAAATTGCTGTTGCGGTCAACGTTAACCATTATTTTATATTGCGGATGCTGTTGCGGCGACCTTGAAAATGGTTAAGATGCGGCCGTTATACACGTCGTTAATTTAATACTATGCAGGGCATAAAAATGGAAAGAAACAGTATATGGGAGATACATATTCAAAAGTATCATTGTAGTCAAGTATAAATGGAAGGATTAACGCAATGTGTTTACAAGGGTACCTGAGTGAGAAGAAGAGGAAGCAAAGAGGTGGGCTGAATTGCCACCCCCACTAACAGTGCCAGCACTTCTCAACCATTCTGGAACTAATTCCGGTTCAGTTTTTTTCATAATGGACACTGAACATGGCCGACAGGGCGGAGGGCAACCCTTCTTCTTCAACCTTCGCCAAACCTTAACCACCAAATTAATTTTTATTCAATATTCATAGACAAATGAACTCTTTACCCTGCCCCTAGTCACTTAACTAAACCAAGGTTTTAACGGGTTATTCAACAAATTGAGAAGAGCAGGAATTGTTTGATCAAGGGGAACAGAATTTGAACACAAGTTTGAATCCATTGCAACGAAAGCAAAAACAATGGCAATAATGAGGTTGTATTTCAATCAAATCTCTTCTTATATCACCATCTTTGAATAAAGATTGGATTCGCAGATTGCTTATTTTCCGGTATCAAATGACCCTCATATTTCCCAAAAAGCGACACAAAAAGAAAGATAAAAACTAATTAAACACTCATAAACCAGTTAAATAACAATTAACTTTGAGTAAGATTAAGAACCCTAGATTAAATTTCAATTATGGGTTTCCAAAGTGACAAAGAAGAAATTCCCAAGTTCTCTAGACAAATGACAAGACGGCTGATGAAAGAAAGGAGAGTCCTAACTGCTACCCTAGCCCTTCTACGATTCTGGCGATTGCCTGATTACGTAACCGTTTTTTAAAGAAGTCACCCCAATCCAGATAATGCGTTAATTTTTCCGGGAAGATAAAAAGGGGTAATTTCAATGTAAAATAATGAGAAAGAAAATGAGAGAGCTTCAGTAGGACTGGAAGTGAAGTAAGCGAGCGAAGTAATTGACGATGGATTATGTCAGTTTTTTTTCCTTTTATGGAATGGCCCAAAAAAAATTAGGGTTTTGTTTCTTTAGTTTGTTTCAAAGATGGTGGCGTAAATTTTCTCTTTTTGTTTATTTTCGGTTGTTCTGATAAAAAAGATCCAATATATTAATATATTGATTATAATTATTTCTGTTACTATATTCGGGTTGTTTTGATAAAAATTGTTAAGAAGGTGATTCGTACCTCTTTAAGATTTTGAACATGAACATAACATCTATATAGTCGATGTTTATTATTAAATAATTAAAAGTTTGAATAAATTAATTGAAAAAACTTTTTATATTAAATTTGTAAAGAAATATAAAATAAATATTAATTTATTAATTTTATTATAAAATAGACACTATACAATTATTTAATTAATTGAATGTTGAAACATGTTAACTTAATAAATAATATTTAATTTAACCTTTTAATTATAATTAATTGATATTCTAAATAATATTTTTTTAAAACAATATAATTTATTTTCAGAAACTATAAAGATATATTATTATAATTATAAAAATATGTAGAGAACCTTTGAAAAAATATTTCCCATTCTTATTAATTACAAGTTACACTATTAAATGAAATCCACACACATGCAACAACTAATCAACTAACTGCCTCTAACAACTCCAACGAATATACTTCCCTATTTCTACACTCTACCTCAAGTTGGGAACTAAATATTTTTTATTCTCAACTTGAAAACTAAGTAGCTATGATGCTGAGAACAAAGTGCTTTAGTCATCAAATCTGTCAACTAATCAATAGTATTCACATGTTTTGCTCGTATTAAACCCTTTTGAATTTTCTCTCGAAGAAAATCATAATCTATCTCGATGTGTTTGATTTATTCATGGAACACAAAATTAGAAGCTATTTGTAATGTTGCCTTGTTGTCATAAGAAAGTGTAATTGTATCTTCTCTATAGATCCTGTAAGGTATGGCTCATAAATATATCGGTAAAGAGGACAGGGGATGGAGCGGAGTGAGTGAAGCGAACATCAACTGTTCTTACAAAGAAAGTCTCGTAGAGGGGGTTACGATTATGTGGGTTGGGGGTGCGGGGGTTGTGCCCCCGCGGTACGGTACAGGGTTAATTTTGTAATTATGTACCAGGGTTTTCTATTATAAATAGAGATGTAACCTAAACCTATGAGAATTGAAAAAAAAAATTTCTAGCGCCACCTAGGCATCGAGGACGTAAGCACATTGCCGAACCTCGTTAAAATTCTTGTGTTCTTTCGTTTACTTTGCCCGATTTATCAACAATTGGTATCAGATGTCAGGAGCAAAATTCGAAGTCGCGAAATTCGATGGTCTGGGTAACTTCGGATTATGGCAAACGAGGGTGAAGGATATGTTGGCACAGCAGGGGATCCTGAAGGCTTTGCGACCTACAAAGCCAGCGTCGATGGAGGAGGAAGATTGGGAATAATTGCAACAACGAGCGGCATGAACCATACGATTATGCTTGGCGGACGAGGTTATGTATCACGTCATGCATCTATCGTCTCCAGACGAAATTTAGAGGAAGTTGGAAAGTCAGTTTATGTCCAAATCCTTAACGACAAAATTGTATCTAAAGCAGCGACTGTATGGGCTGAAGATGCAGGACGATCATGATTTGGCGCAACACGTGAATGTCTTCAATCAAATCGTTTCTAATTTGGCTCGGCTTGATGTAAAAATTAAGGATGAAGACAGAGCAATGATTTTGTTGTGTTCGTTGCCTCCCTCTTACGGACACATGGTGACTACTATTACATATGGGAAAGAGACTATCAACGTTGAGGAGATTACTGCAGTCTTGTTGGCTCATAACCAGCGGAAGCAGAATGCAGGGGAAAACTCTCAAGTCGATAGCTTATATGTCAAGGGTAATCGAGACCGTGGACGGAAGCCAGAGAAGGCAGGGTCTGGCAAGCGGAATTCCAGATCCAAATCTAGGGATAAGAAGACAATTCACTGTTACAAGTGCAAGGAGGCGGGACATATAAAGCGAGACTGTCCGAAGTTGAAAAAGCAGACTGATGAGAAGCGTGATGTTTCATCCAAGTCTGTGAACGTGGTCGAGGATGACAATTCTGATTGCAGTGAGGGTGATATGCTTTCTATTTCAACGACTTAATTGACGGATGCGTGGATTCTTGATTCTGGATGTTCTCATCACATCACGCCAAATAGGGAATGGTTTTCGACATACAGGTCGGTTAATTCTGGTTCTGTTTATTTGGGTGATGATCGATGTTGCAATATTGTTGGTATTGGTGATGTCAGAATTAAGATGTATGATGGCTCTGTTCGGACGTTGAGTGGTGTTCGACATATCCCAGATTTGAAGAAGAATTTGATTTCTTTGGGCACTTTGCACAAGAATGATTTTATCCATAAGGCTGATGAGGATAGAGAAACCATTCGGATTGTTAAAGGTGCTTTGACTGTGATGAAAGGAAAGATGACTGCAGGAAATATTTATAGATTGTTAGGGAGTACCGTTGCAGGTGGAGTTCATTCTGTTGAGTCCTGTGATGATACTATAAAACTATGGCATATGCGTCTTGCTCATCTTAGTGAACGTGGTATGACAGAATTACACAAAAGAAATCTGTTGCATGGTGTCAAAAGCTGTAAGCTCGATTTTTGCAAGTATTGTGTTCTTGGTAAACAGACTAAAGTCCGTTTCAAGAATGCGAGGCACACAACTCAAGGGATTCTTGATTATGTGCATTCTGATGTATGGGGGCCTTCCACGACATCGTCTTTGGGTGGATCTAGGTATTATGTTACTTTTATTGATGATTTTTCACGGAAAGTTTTGGGTGCATTTTTTGAAACAGAAATCTGAAGTTTTTGAGAAGTTCAAGGTGTGGAAAGCTGAGGTAAAAAACCAAACAGGACGAAAAATCAAGTGTTTGCGGTCTGACAATGGTACGGAGTACACAGATTCACAGTTCTTACACTTCTGTAAGGAGCACGGGATTAAGAGACATTTTACAGTGCGCAAGACACCACAACAGAATGGTGTTGCGGAACGGATGAACAGGTCGTTGAATGAAAGAGCCAGATGTTTGCGGTTGAATGCGGGGCTTCCCAAACACTTCTGGGCCGAGGCTGTTAACATGGCGTGTTATCTTATCAACAGATCGCCAAGGGCATCATTGGCTGGGAAAGTTACAGAAGAGGTATAGAATGGTCATGATGTTAGTTTTGATAACTTACGGATTTTTGGTTGTCCTGCTTATGTGCATGTACCTGCTGATGAGAGATCCAAACTTGATGCAAAATCGAAGGAGTGCATTTTTCTG